CAGGAGCAGGTGGGGACAAGGAGTATACAGGAAAGAGAGAGTTGGGGGGAGGGAGAGGATGTGGAGGTGGGAAATGACGGAGCAGGCAAGCAGCCTGCAACAGAGAGACAGGCATCAACGAGGCGTGGAGAGAGGCGGAGGATCTATTTGGAGAGGTCGGGAGAGCCTGACCCAGAGGGAACGAAGGAAGAACAGAGAGGGAGGAGCGCTCTGAGGTCTTGAGGGACCTTGAAGAACCCACTTTCCTCTAGAGAAAGTTGCACAAGGCCCAGAGAGAGAGAGGAACGTTCCACCCTGGGCCACGCAGGGGACCAGCACCAGCAGCGCAGGAGGTGGCGGCACGCGCAGCCAGTCCTGGTAACAGCGTGAGCCAGGAAGGTGCTAGACTTCGAGACGGAGGGCATTGTCTTCTGCGGGCCAGCCCGAGGGGTGCTGCAAGCCTTCCTTCTAGACAAGAAGGCTGGGGTCCAGGTGCCAGGCAGGGAGAGAGCAATAGGAGGGTAGAGGAGGTGGGGAAGACGGAGACTCATGGAGATGTGACTGTGACCCCGTCTCAAGTAGGACATTAGTCCCTGTGCGGGTGGCTCCAGAGCACAGAAGGTCAAATTGTCTGTTCCATAGGGTCTTTAGGAGTCAGAAATAATTTAGTCCAGACCCTCCCCTGTCCCCGGAAGAGTACAGAAATGCTGATCCAGCCCCAGGCTCAGGGCCAGCTGGCTTCACAGGAACCCCGACTTGGAACAGGCGCCCCTTTCTTAGTACCTGGGCTGCAGGACTGGCCTGGGAGCGTGGCGCTGTCTGCGGTGCTGACTGGCCCTACTTGAACAACGGAGCTGCCAGTGCGGAGCTGGGGAGAGCAGCAGGCTCCATCTCTTCATCCATTCACCTGTCACCTCCATGTCCCCACCATCCCCTCACCCACCCACCATCCATCCACCCGTCTACCCATCTACCCACCACCCATCCACCCGCCTGCCTTCCCACCAGCCATTCACCTCATTGAACTCAACCACAGACCCACAGAACTACCTGCTGCAGAGCTAGAAAGACCCATTTTTACTCAGGAGGAAACTGAGGCACAGACAAAGAAAGGGGCCTGCAGCCACACACAGCTTCTGGAGTCACTCTGGGACAGCATTAGAAATCCCTGCTCTTTTCTAAACACCATGCATTCTCTCCTAAGGCCTGGAAAATTGCTTGGTTGTTATGTTTATACCAATATTTGTTCAAAAAAGCTATGCGAGCTGAAAATGTGACTTCCTGGTGTGTGTGTGTGTGTGTGTGTGTGTGTGTGTGTGCGCGCCTATGAGCTTTCTTGTGTATGCAATGGATATGTGGTTGTGTTTATATCCGGGCATATGCATGTTTGTGCGATGATGTGTGCATATATGTATGGGCAGAGGTGTGTGTGTGGCACTGAATTTGTGTGGCATGTGTTGGTAGGCATGTGAGCAGGATTTTATGGCCATGTCTGCATATTTCCCTTCCTCTTCCTTTCAGGCGTCCAGGGGCCCTACCTCTGGCTAGAACCCAGCTCCCTCCATTCCTCTCATTTGGGAACATCCCCCCATACCTCCCATTCCTAGCTGTTCCTACTGACTCTCCCCTCCATTACCACGGCCACACTGCCCTCTGAGCCCACACTCAGGGCCCTGGAGTTGAGCTGTTTCTTCCTGAGTTAGCGCAGTGGAAGTAGAGTTGTTCTGAGGCTGGGGAAGGTTCAGGGAGGAGGAGGCATTAAAGCAAACCTTGAAGGCCCGTTAAGTGCCAGATCTGAGTAGCCCTTCCCAGCTGCACTCCTGTATGCAATGCCCTCCTCTCCTGGGGCAGGCTGGGCAGGGCCAGGAGGTGGGTGGACAGAAGACACCAGTCAGTGCACTCTGGGCTTCACTGGCCAGCTCTATCTCTAGCCCACCCTGGTCAAGGAAAGGAAGGCCCTGTCCCTGCTGCCATCCAACTCCACCAAGTTTCCTTTTTATTCCTCTTGCCATTATCCTGCCTTTGGCCTGAAAAATCACAGAAAGCTGACCAATCAAAACAAAGGTCAAATAGGCAGCCACCAATTCTAGTAAAGGACAGGTCAGGGCATCCCCCAATCAAAGCAAAGGGCAGGTTGAGGAGCCCACCAATCAGGACAAAGGACAGACTATTCTGTCTAAGCCCCCCGGGGAGGGAGCTGTGGGTCTGGTGCCCAGAAGAAGCCAGACAGGCTGGAGATCCAAAGATTTGGGTTCTGGACCTTGCTCTGTCCTCACTGGCTGGCTGGCCACAGATGGGTCTTTGCTTCTCTTTGAGTCTCAGTTTCCCCATCTGTCAAATGGGAAGACTGAAGCCTGCAGCTGTGAAAAATCTCTTTCCCCATGCCAGGCTCACTGCATCGCTGTGGCTCTCCTTCCCCAGCTTCCACCAGGCAAACCCGTCAGACCCTGCTGAGAGTGCGGCCTCTCAAGGGTCAACTGTCCTCCAGGCAGGAATAGACCTAAGCCAGCACCACTTGGCGGGCCCTTCTCTTAGAGCCCCAGTCTGGGGACCCTGGGGAGACTTTATTTTAGGATGATTTGGGGGCATCAACTCTTCCTCTTCTTTTTTAGTCTTTGAATTGACTTTGGAAGGCCACAGCAGCCTACACGCAGTCTGTGTGCAGGTCTGACCTGAGCCCTGCCAATCCGTAAGGAAATAGCTATACTCTTGAGAACTTGTGAGTGAGTGTGTGTGCACATGTGCCTGGAAGGCATCTGAAATGTGCTGGGGTGTCTGTGAGGAACTGCAAGTCCATGGCTCCGTGGTGCGCAGGTGTGAGGAAGAGTGCCTAAGAGTGGAAGGACGAGGATCCAAATTGGGGATTATGTTGTTCGTAACCAGCCACTTCCAATCCCCCAGAGTGGACTTCTCTCCATGAAGGCCTAGATGCGTCTTCGTCCTTGCACACCCTTGCATGTGGAGGGGTCATAGGGAGACAGGGCTGGGGAAGGCAGTGCCCAGTGAGCAGTTGGGGGAGAGCCCACAGCTGCCCCTCTCCTCCTGGAACACAAGATTGGGTAAGGGAGGACACAGCAGCCAAGGAGAAGCAAGGGTGAGATTGGGAGCGGAAGTCCGGGTCCCAGGCTTCACTTAGACCTCAGAGCAGGACATCCCTGTGCAGCCCTCCTGACAGGTGGCTGGACATTCAGCCAATTCTTGCATACCCTCAGAGTTGGGGAGCTCCCTTCCTCTTGGTGGCACCTACCTTTGTAGCATGGCTGTATTGGGAGGAAAGTCCTTCATCACACTGGACCAAGGCCAGCCTCTTGTGAAATCCTATGGGTCCCCAGGCTGCCCATGGGGCCACAGAGTTCAGTCCCCACACCCAGGAGGGTCTGAGAGTTTGGAGTTGAAGACTGTTAGCCCTGAGTCTGCTCTGCTATAGGCTAGGCATCGGTAGATCATCCCATCTTAGTCCCATGCAGGACGCATTGTGTTTCCAATTCCATCCCTACGTGCGTCACCGCTGCTGGGTGAGTCCCATCTTGTCCTCACCTGGGACATATGAACTGAGGTGGCCTACTCAGAGGCTCTCGGAGTGGGGGAACAGCTGTCTCCCCTCTTTGGGTTAGCTTACCATTGGTATGGCCTGAAGTTGCGGTGTTTTTTTTTTTTTTTTTTTTTTTTTTTTTTTTTTCAGTTAAGCC